ACTCTGAAGCTGTGTTACTGTGTCTGTCTAACACACTTGATGATCTAATAAAGAGCTGAATGGTCGATAGCAAGGTAGGAGGAAGGGTAGTCAGGGCTGGCAGACAGAGAGAACAAGTAGAAGGAGAAATCTGGGAGAGGGAGGTAGAAAGAATGAGAAAGAAAGAGGAGGACGCAAGGGGGGGGGGCAGCCACCCAGCTACGCAACCAGCCACGGAGTAAGAAATAATGAAAGATCCATAGAAATAGAGAAAGGTAAAAGCCCAAAGGCAAAAGATAGGTGGGATAATTTAAGTGAAGCTGGCTAGCAACAGCCAAGCTAAGGCCGTACATTTATAATGAAGAATAAGCCTCTGTGTGGTTTATTTGGAGCTGGGTGGTGGGCCCCCAAAAGAGCAAAAACAAACAACAACAGTGATTCATAACAGTAACACAATTACAGTTGTGAAGTAGCAATGAAAATAATTTTATGGTTGAAGGTCACCACCACATGAGGAACTGTATTAAAGGGTCACAGCACTAGGGAGGTTGAAAACCACTGGAATAGAGTATTAAAAAAAAAAAAAAGCAATCGGAGCAAATAGGTGTGTATGTGCACTTATTTTCTGTGTGCTCTTTGATGTGATATGACCAGCTACTGGGAGTCCCTGCCTTGATTTCCCCACAATGGTGACTGTCACTTGGAATTGTAAGCTAAAATAAATCCTTTCTCCCCTAGGTTGCTTTTTTTCAGGGTACTTGTCACATCAACAGAAATGACACTAAGGGAGACAGTCCCTTCTTGATCCCAGGAGCACCTCCCTGCCAAGGGTGTCCAGTTTCCAAATGCAAAAAAGAACTGGAGAAGTACCTGGGAGGACTGGATCTAAGAGAACCTCCAAAAGCAATGGAATTCATGGGGTGGTCTGTTTTCAACCTGCAGTCTCCCTGGTCCACTCATGGTTTGAGTGTTTGCCAGTCAGCTGTGGCCCTGTTTGGGGAGGCTGTAGAAACTTCAGAAGGTGGGACTTGGATGAGGGAAGTGGGTTACTGAGAAAATGACTTCAAGTATTATATATGTCTGTTCTCTGCTTCCTGTCCTGTGATGGTGTGAGGAGTCTCCAGCAAGCTGCATGCTCTCGATCGTGACCTATGATGGCTTAAAACGCTGAGCCAAAATAATTCTTTCCCGAGCTGTTTCTGTCATGAGGTATTTTGGTCACAGGGACACAAAAGTAATAAACACACCCAGCTCCATGTGATTCTACAATTCTTAGTTGCTACATTATAAAAAGGAAACAGAAACAGCTGAAATCAATTTTGATAACATGTTTAGTGTAACCAAGATATCCAAGATAAGATCATTTGTACATATTACCAGTAGAAATATTATGAATGAGATATTTTGTGTGTTTAGATGAAATGTCAAGAATGTGAAATGAATTTCACTCACATTTCAATTGGTCCATATATTTTTCACAGAAAACATTTGATCTGTATTTCAGGTTTAACAACCTTAGGGCTGAAAAATACAAATTCACCCCAGCCCCCATTTTGTTTTAAACAGACTTCAAGTTCTCTAATAATTGAACCTTAGATTTAAAAAATTTTATATTAGAGTTAATTAAGATAAAAGTTTAATTTCTCAGTGACACTAGCCACTTTTGCAAGCACCACATGGGCAAGTTCTAGAAGGTTGGTGGGAATGTAAGGAGGAGGCAATGGAACCAGGGAGCAAGGACCATGCCTGGTGTGTGTGTGTGTGTGTGTGTGTGTGTGTGTGTGTGTGTGTGTGTGTGTAGCTACAGTTTTCCTGCCTTGCCCACAGTCAGGACAAATCTGTCACTCACCAGTCCCACAGCCACTCAGACCCAACCAAGTAAACACAGAGACTTATATTGCTTACAAACTGTATGGCTGTGGCAGGCTTCTTGCTAACTGTTCTTATAGCTTAAATTAATCCATTTCCATAAATCTATACCTTGCCATGTGGCTTGTGGCTTACTGGCATCTTCACATGGTGCTTGTCATGGTGGTGGCTGACAGTGACACCCTCTGTCTTCCTGTTCCCTCCTTTCTCCTCTCTGTTAGTCCCACCTATACTTCCTGCCTGGCCACTGGCCAATCAGTGTTTTATTTATTGACCAATCAGAGCATTTGACATACAGACCATCCCACAGCATGTGTATGTGTGTGTGTGTGTGTGTGTGTGTGTGTGTGTGTGTGTGTGCATATTATTCTCTATGAATGAGGGCAACATCCTTTATTCACTATTTCCATGTCCAAATACACAGTATTCACTTAACTTCCTGCAAGGCTTTGGATGCTGAAGACAGGTGACATTCCTGGTCCAGAGTCCTTAGAGAATGTCACTTTAAAACTGTCGAGGAGAGCCACCCTGGAGCTGGGGTGCTGCTGATCTGAGTGGCCTGCACTGCCACCGGGGGATGGTGACATCCATCTGAGTCCATGGCCCTACTGCAGCCAGGGTCTGTGTGGAGGTCCATGGCTCTTGTTATTACTGAAGGCCGTTTGACTTTCCAGGGTCTGGGCCCATGTTGGAGTCCAGGGACCATGCTACTGCTGGGCCCATGAGGATCTGAGAGGCCTGTGCTGCTACCCAGGGCCATGGTGACATTTGGGCCAAGCTGCTGCTGCTGGCTATGTCTAGGCCCATGGTCCTGCCATAGGTGGGGTCTGTGTTGATGTCCATTGCCCGAGTCACCACAGGGGCCCGTGCAAACCACCTGTTGAACCATGTGTTGAGCTGGCTCCTCCCCTCACTGGCCTAGGGAGAGCCCCTCCTCACTAGAAAGCTGATCCTGACCCTTTTAGGCCCTGGGATAACAGACCCTGATGACCCTGGCATGGGAAAGCTTGTTCTGCTCCTATAGGAGAACCCCCCTGCCCCGATACTTGGGAAAGCTCACCCTATCCCTTACCATGGGCATGGGACAGATAGCTGTGCTTCTTACCAGAAAGGAGTGGCCCCTGTGGCCCAGTCAGACCAACTCAGCTACCACCCAGGCATGCATCTAGGGCTTTGAGTTGATGCTCCCCAACATCTACCCCATCTATGACCTGTTGGAGTGTTTGAAGGGACTGGTCCTACAGAACCATAGTCACAGGATCTCCATGGTTGGGGCAAGTGCAGAATATCAGAGAGAAGTTTCAGAGAGGGTCCAGTATCGATGGTGTACCAGAAGTCAGAGGCCTTGAACCTAACCAACAGCACATTACACAATGAACATTTGCAAGTAAAGTTGTTTGGACAAAAGGGTCTATAGTTCATGATACACAGCAGCTCCCAATACCACTAAGATGAATGAAGAGGCGATGGAGATGTGGGGAAGATGGAGGAGCAAAGTGGTTTTTATTTCATTTTTTTAAAATTAATATTCTTACTTTTATTTATTTTTATCTTATTTTATTATTTCTTTTTTAGTTTTCCTTTGGGCGGGACATTACAAAGGTGAAGAGAGGATATAGAGGGACTGGGAAATGAATGGGATTGGGGTGCATGAGGTGAAATTCCCAAAGAATCAATAAAAATATTTAAAAAACAAAACAAAACAAAAAACTGCCAGCGGGAGCAGCAGCCCCCCCTACTGTTAGCTGGAGGAATGTGGGTGCTTCTGGGGGTATGGCTCTGGGCTGAGGGGTAAAGGTCGGGGAAGGATTGCAGGACAGAGCTCTTGACTCTGATGTGTAAGAGTGTGAGTGCAGAAAAGAATCTTAGTGAGAGGAAGATTATTTAATAATGTTTGTGGTTTCCAAACTCAAGCAAAAATTATTTATTTTTCCCTAGACTTCATTAGCCAACATACACTCAGTAAGAATCTGTAATCACCATATTCAGACAGCCCTCCCACGCGAAATTTTATATATATAATTTTTAATATACTTTAAGCATATATAAATATTAAAATTACATGCAACCTTCACTGCTCTCTTCTAAATTGTTTACAAATGAAAAGCAATAATATACACAGCTTAAAAAAATCCAAACTACACCAAAAGTACAAGTCCCCATTCCCCGCTTGGGTGTATTTTTCAAGTGTTTAAAGCACTTGGCATGCACTAACTGCTCAGTAAAGGTTTGTTCCTGCATGTGGGTGTTTAAGCTCAGGCAGAAACTAACAGCAACAGAAACACAATTAAAGGGGAAGCCATGCGAGGGACGGGGCCACAGGATCACAGGAGTGGGTTGAGCAATTTTGTTCTGTAATGTGATTGCTTTAACAGTTATTTAATTTGCTCCACTTAATCATTAAGAGAGCTTCTCTGACTGTGTTACTTTGAAATCTTCTAGAATCAAATACTGGAGGTAGCAGGGAAGAGAGGGGGTGGATTTTCTAGAGGCATAGTGTAAGGGTTCGTTATGGGTTATGACAGACATGTTCCAGGAAGAGGAGGGTAGCGATGAGCTTTGTTTTGTCCTGGGCAGTCAGGCTGAATGAACTTGGGAGAGCTCAGTTCAACCAATAATCAGGCTAGTGGGTTGAAATGTGGAAATGCAACCTTTCTTTTCAAGGAATTTGCCTCTGGGGATGACCACAAAACCAAGCGGAGAGGCGACCGACCGTAGAACCAGGCAGAGGACATGATGGTTCCCTTCCTGTCTGGAATGTAGACATGGTCCCCTCCTGGGAGTATGATGAGATCCTCCTAATAAAGTCAGTGGAGGCATTGGTCTTTGATGTCTTTGGGAGCCAGTGGAACAGCTCTTGCCTCCTGGCCTTTTGAGCACACTCAAGAAAAGTCAATATCCCTTTAGATAAGGCCTGGAACTGGGTTCTTGCTCCACAGTTCTGCACAGATCTAGCTCTAATTCAGGGCAACTGATTTCTTGGGTTTGAGCGGGGCAAGCCTTTGGGTTTTTTTTCTCCTCTGTGTCTCTTTCTTTCCAGTTTATTATCCCAGAATCCTCCAGGAGTCAAAAGACAAGGTTCTGTGCCTGTCTGAAACCAGCTCTGGAGTTCACTCTGACTCATCCAGTCTAGAGAAGGAGACAGTTATCTTCATTCCTAATTGAGGGTGTGGGGTCCAAGGAAGAAATCTGATTGACTTGTCTAGAAAGGTCTTCTACGAACAGCCTTTTCTCCCACCATGGACAAAAGAATGGGCAGTCTGATTGGCTAGAGCTGTGTCTGTCAAGTCCTACCTGGAACAGGAAATGAAGGACATATTTCTAAAAGGACAAAGTGAAAGTAAGGCAGACAAGGGAGATGAGAAGAACAGCGTCAGACACCTCCTCCAAGAAGCCTTTTCCAGCAGCCGTATTTGACTCCTAACCCCCGTGTTTATCTTCTCTATAGCGCACCGCATGTATATTACCATCTGTCTCCTCCTGGCAGCTTTGAAGGTGAGCGGTTCCTCCTCTCCATTCTCTTTTCTCCTTCCACCCACCCCCTAGCCCTCTTTCCCAAGCCACCCCCCATCCCCACATCCTCCAAATCGAGGAAAGCTTTTGATGGGAGCTGCCGGGCTCCTGAACCGGTTCCTCCAACCTTTGGCTACTTCGTCATTATTTTCCATTCCATTTTCTCCATGGTTCTTGGTCAGACACTTCATCTGACTTGAATTCCTTTGGCCCAGATTCCTCACTCCTGCATCTTTCGCCAACTTTTAGATCTTTACAAGCCGATTCTGGGCTCCTCAGTGCACAGGGTGAGGGTACATTGACCCTTGTGGTGCCAACTGGGCGTGGGTCTGAAAGAGTTCACTTTCAGCTCTTTTCTGCCCTCTTCTGGGCTTCGGTGGGTACAGCACCCGCTCTTAGGACGTGAAGTCTATATTCTTACATTTCCACTCAGATTGTCCGATTACTTATAAATCAGATTTTTATTTGGGGTACTTGTCATACTTTTTATTTTATCAGGTGATATTTTTGCATAGATGGCATGTCATTCCACTGACATGGTTTTCATTTAAAAAATTTAAGAACTAAATAAATGTGAAGATGTTTGTTTTGTTTACTTGCTTATCTGTCTCCTATCTTTTTTCCCTCCCTCCCTCCTTCTCTCCCTCCCTCCCTTTCCCTTCCCTTCCCTTTCCTTTCCTTTCTTCCTCTCTCTCTCTTTCTCTCTTTCACTTGAATGAATCTTTAATCTTTAATTTTAATCTTACTTGGAAGGCTGTTGGAGAAGTAATGTTTTTGGACTTTCTAACTATTTAGCATATATTTACATTTCCTCAATGGACATCTTCCCCAATAAGTCATAGCCTGGGGCCTTCATCAAAGTTCAGAACTTGGCAAGTGCATATTTATTATTTATGTCAGAATCTATGCAATGCCCAAATAATTGTTTTGCCAATAAGCAATTGCCATTTCCAGGGAATTTTGGGCTGTTATGTAGATCAGAAACTTCCCAGAGACTTGCTGATGTCATCAATGATGGACACACACCTTAGCAGGACATTTGGTTGGAGTCTTGGCTTCACTGTAGGTGACAGAATTTCTTGCTTATGACTAAGTTGTCATCCGCAGGCCAGCAGCTAACTGCCTTTGTATTTTGCCCTTGGATGTCTGGGTAGACCCTACAGTCTTTTCATGGTGCCAAGACTGCCTCTTGCTTTCCTGGGTCCACATGTTGAAGTCTCCCTGATCCATCTCATAATTCAAATCCAGCCCACCTTTCTAGACTTTTCCAGACCTCCTTTGCTGAGGTCCCCGCACCATCTGCCATCTTTTTTCTAAACAGTACTCCTGTACTTTCACAAAAGTTACAGGCATCATTTTGTAACATCCTTTAACTTTTTAGTAAGATGGTATTTATAAATTTGGACTGCCATCTAACTTTATGGATGTTTATGTCCCATATGTTTCCTGGAATAATAAGATTTTAGTGCCAGGAAATATATCGTACACTTGTCCGCCCCCCCCCCCCACCAGTTCTCAGAATGTTGAATGTCTATTGCTGTATTCAATAGATGAGCAGCAAGTGCTGATGATTGATGGGCTGTTATGTCATTTGTTACTCCTATCTCTAATTAGGATACTTGACTGATAAATTATTTACAAAAGACAGATTGGCACAGACCATCATTAACACTTCCCTGAAATATTTTCATGCCTTTAGATGCTTTGCAGAACATATCACCCAAATGGCTCTCTGTGTGTATGTGTGCCCACGACAAAGGGAAGTCACATTAAAATCAATCTTTTAATTTGTTGCAGAGGAGGCAAGATCATTTCAAAACTTCATTACATTTTTTAATCAAAGTCATACATTTTATAATTTTCAGGATTAAATGATTTCAAAAGGCCAGCTGAAACCCAGTGCATCTCATGCCCCACAATTCCCTGCTTCCTAGAACCAGTGTATTCAACACTTTTAATTGGTTAATTTGAAATGACCTTGGTGTCACTGCCAGGTTTGTGCCGATCCTTTATTCCTTTTGCTGCTAACTTTAAGCATTATGTCTCAGCTCTGATTATGGCTGCTGTTGCACAGTTACTGGTCACCCCCACATCAACACAGACATTATCCCACTTATACTATTTCATAATTCTCTCAGGCTAATAACCAGTGATTAAAATAGTCCATCTACACGAATGCAATCAGGATTTCTTGGAGTTGGTAGCTACTTTACTTTTCCATCTTCTGTTTTGATTTTTGCTATTCATTCATCCCAAGCTGATCAATTGTTTAAATCTCTTCCCAGTATATTAACCCACATCAGGTCTTCCATCATGACCTCTTCTTTGGCCACCTTCCCTGTGCCTCTCGGAGCTGTTTTCACCTGGATGGGTTTTTGATTTCTTTTAACTCCAGTCCGACTTCACAATTATAATGAAACCTTCCTTCGCCTACATCCATAGGACTCCCCTTTGTCACTACCAGATTGATACTCTTATTGCAAGGCTTCCTCTCTTTCTTTCTTTCTTTCTTTCTTTCTTTCTTTCTTTCTTTCTTTCTTTCTTTCTTTCTTTCTTCCTTCCTTCCTTCCTTCCTTCCTTCCTTCCTTCCTTCCTTCCTCCCTCCCTTCCTTCCTTCCTTTCTTTCTTTTTCACCTTTTAATTTTAGAAAGGTAAATTTTTTTTTGGTAGCTTCTGGATTCATGTCAGGTAAATATTTTGAGACTGTATTGGTTCATTCATGTTGGTTGTTACAACAAAACACCTATGATTGCATATTTTATTTTTTAAAAAAGGAAGAGATCTATTTAACCCAATTCTAGAGGTTTCAGAACATTGGCACCAGCAGCTGCTTGGCCCTCTTGGCTATGGTACAGCAGATGACATTCTAACAACAGCATATGGATGTATAGGAGGCTAGACTGGAACTGGGTCTGTTTTGGTTTTGATTATCTATCTATCTATCTATCTATCTATCTATCTATCTATCTATCTATCTATCTATCTATCTATCTATCTATCTGTAACAACTCACCTTTACCAGAACCATGAGATCAGTATTAATAGTTTCTCCAGCGATTTCATTAGTTCCCCTCAGATTTAGTCCATTAGAGGTCTACCACCTCTTACACAAAGTAGCCTTCAGCTCTTAGGGAACAAAAGAGATCTAAATCATGGAAAGACCCTTCATGTCTGAAATATTTTCATTCCACCCTAATATTTAATTAATGATTGTGACGGCCATAGACTCTTAGGTTGGAGATGGCTTCCTACAGATCTTCAGAGTAATTTTTATCTTTTAGTTTTGCTTCTAGAATAGTTACAGAGAGATCCACACTCATCTTGAATCCCAATAGTTCTTTGTGAAATGTTTAAGATTGTATCTTTGACTTAATTGTCCTGGAAATTAAAGATGATGAGTCTTAACATGCATCTACTTTGTTGTCCTGGGCACTTAATGTTCCACTCTAGATTAGGAACTCATGGCCATCAACACTGGGAAGAAATTTCTGGATTGCTTCTTACCGCTTTCTTTAATCTTAAAAGTTCTCTTTTCTGAAACTTTAATTCTTTAGTCATATTGGACGCCTGGGCTGATTTTCTAAGTTCAGGACTTAAGGACTCCAATATGCTGTATTCTTTCTAAGAAACAAGTTTGCCCTTACCTGGGTTGGGTAGGACAAGATGGGAGACTTATGTCTTGAATACTGTTTCAACTGATTGTTGATGAATAGTTTTAACATCACATTGATGTCCAGTGGTGCCCAGGACCCTGCAGAGCAAATTGGTCAGCTTCTTGAGTTGTTCCTATCGTTGGCTTTGAAGTCAGCTTTCTCAGGCCCGTTAAATGAGTTCTCACTGGTTTATCTGTTTCCCAGATCTCTAGATTTTAACCCACCATGTTCTTCTCTATCATCTCTGCCATTGGTTCTTGTTGTCTTTGGATATTTCCCTTCACTCTGTGTTTGTAAAGACCTTTGAAGGAGCAGAACAAAAGCATCCATTCTATCTACCATTGTCACCCCAAATTCTGACATTCTCCCCTAGCGCTGCATGATTTTGTGGCGAGAATGGGGAGATGCTGTGGTATTTATCTCTAAGGAAATATGAACAACATTTCCTGAAGTGGTGACAGATGTTAGAAGCTGGCACAGCTGCCCACGAGTCTCTTAGATTAAGACAGAGATCCCTGGAGAGAACAGTAAGAGAGACATCTTATGCCTGACAATCAAAGCTTGGCTTCCAATTATATACAGAGAAAGAGTGAGGAACGCATGCATCCAGTTGGTAGCAAACTGGCAATGTTTGTGGAAGTGCTGTGTCAGGAACCCAGCTAGCACATGCAAGAGAGCATATGGACAACTGGTCATTAATCCTCAGGCAGGGGGCAATGCCAGAGCTCCTAGACACTTAATGACATCAGGCTTTGACTTTGAAACTGTAACGAATACTCACTCAGAGATCTTTTATTTCTCTGGGGAAATCTGGGTAGGGAATTGCAGCTGTAGGAGTTGTCAGATCTCTAGGCTAATGCTTATGGGTGCTGAAAATTGTAATTTGCTGAAATAGTTAGGACAGACTTTTAGATGAAAGCCTCCTGATCAGCTCCTAATACTGAGAGAGCAAGTTATGTAGTCATCACAGGACTAGTTTTTTTTTCTTTAAATGCTTAGAATTTAAAAGTGCTCTGAACTACTACTACCACTCCTGTGGCCATGAGAACGGCTACTATTTATTGAGCACATATTGGATTCCAAGTACCACTCTCAGTAATTGACATGCATCCTCTTTTTTGATTCATACACAAAAATGTTTAAGATAGACATTAACGTCATTTACACCAGTACTCCAAAAATACTTAAATGAATAACAATAGCACAGCAATTGAAGGATTAAGATGACCTGTAAGCTCTTCAAAGTTCTTCATATACTTTGTTCATTCAAGTCTTGAGTTATATGAAGATGCCCTCCATAGGCTCATGTGTTTAAACACTTGGCTCCCA